CCGTCGGCAGCGGCGTCGGCGGCAGCCGATACGTTGGAGCAGAGAGCTTCGACGGCGGTGGATCAGGGAGCTTCGACGGCGGCTGTGTAGCAGAGATGCTCCGGTGGCAGTGGCAGACCATGGGCGGCAAAGTCGGGGTGAGAATCGGCAGGGGGTCAATGGTATGAGATGCCTTTGATGGTGAATGGGTGTTTATAAGTTGGGCTTACAATTGAGAAATAGATATATTCAAGGAGTTGAATTGCAATTTTATTGTTTTTTAATATATCTCAATTGATATATGGGCAAATGTATAATTTATATAAATATGTTAAGGTGCAACTCGTTTAGCGTTAAGGTGCAATCAGATATTAGTTAAGGTGCAACTCGTCTAATGGTAATGGAAAACATAATAATAATAATAATAATAATAATAATAATAATAATAATAATAATAATAATAATAATAATAATAATAATAATAATTGTATATATTCTTTTTGGTTAATTTTTTTTCGTTAAAAAAACCTGAAATCGAACCAAAATAACCGAGTTTTTACAAGTCAAAAAGTCGATTGAAAATCGTTGGTTGGATGTTGTGAAATATGATAGACAATTAATGTGCAATACGTCCGTGCAATATTATAAAATTATTATTTAGATTAATTTGATTGATTAATTTAATTATCTAAATAATATATGGATTTTAAATATATATATATATATATATAACTTTTATATTCATTTTAGTCGGTAAATACGCTAAAGTGAAATAATCCGGACACAAAATTGCAACCTGACAGTCATTAACGTGCACGTTTTTCGGCCGCTATGTGCAGTATGTAAGGACCAAACTTTCGTCCCAACCAAATTGAAATCGAACACTAACGTGCATTTCAATTTTAATTTTTTTTAATAATGTGTATTTTAATTAAATTAATGTGCATTTGCCAAATTATTTATGTAATGTAAATATATTTATTTTTTATTTTTTTTTGTATTTATATTTTATATTACTAATCTAATTAACATCACTGTGCATTTGTTATGCTAAGGTGAAATCTCACTGACACAAAAGTGCAACCCGACAGTCAATAATGTACAACATATTCAATTGAAAATGAACATATTTAATTGGTGTATTCGACTCAGTTAACCAAATTATTCAAAATAATTGAAATAATTTGTTATTTATATTGAAATTATATTTAATGTGTTAATAATTTTATTTATTAATATTATTGTTGGTTGAAATATTTTATGCCTGGTCTGTTCGATATCTATTGTGCAATATGATAGTCGTTATAAAGTGCATTGTTTTATTTTGTAAAGTGCAATATATTATTTTATAAAGTGCAACGTATTGATTTATAAAGTGAACTGTAATTTTGGTATGTTATCACGCTTGTGCTTTGTGTGGATGAATGATGAGATTGATGTTAAAAATATTATGTACATCAGTTTTTTAGATTTATGTTGTGTGGTATTTTTAGCGGGAGTTGTTTGATGTTAATTGTGGAGTGTGGTGATAAAGTGCAACATATTTAAAATGCAGTGTAATGATATATAAAGTGCAATAAATTAAAAAAAAAAAGTCAATGAAACCCTATATCCCTAATTTTAATTTATTATTGAAATAATTTGTTATTTAATTATAAAAATATATTTAATATTTTAATATCTTTATTTGATATTTTATGTTATTTATCAGCCAAAATACATAACATATACCATACATAGTTAACAATACTAATTGACATTACATAGCAATAAAATATACATCTACTTGTTAGTTGGGTAGTGGGCTCGGTCCTACAGTATTTATCAGCCTAAATTGTAATATTTAAAGCTGTTAAATTGCAACTAAGTCCCTGTTCCTTATCTAATTTCTAATTTGAAGCCCCTAAGCCCCAACCCCAAATTTACGTTGATGCGTTTCCCCTCCAGAATTATACTCGTCGGTCTGATGAACGGAAGTACACGGTGGCGACTGGATACAGAAACAGCAGCGGTGGCGGATTTAAACATCGTCGAACTTGGTTGTGTGCTCGTTTTTTTTCCCGACGGCGCCGACGAGATGCACAGACGGTACAGGTGATGCGGCAAAGTCACCGATATGGCGGAGGTGGAGACTGATAGATGAGGAGAAATATAGGCGGAGGCGGCGGCCATTCTCGTGCGGCGGCAAGCGGCGGCAAGCGGCGGTGACGCTGTCGTTTCCGAGAGGATGCCGTCGACGGCGGCATCTCCTCGGATGTTTTCGTCGTGAACGGTGTGTGAGTCTGTATGTGTGAGTGTGTGCACCGGTTGTAGTGTGTGTTTTTGTGTGTGTCGTTTGTGTTGTGTGTGTGTGTGTGTGAGAGAGAGAGAGAAACGGTGTAGTGTGTGTGAGTGTGTGCGCAGGGTAGTGTGTGTGAGTGTGTGAGAGAAAGACGTGGAGAGAGAGATGTGAAGAGTGTGAGATTTTTTTTTTTTTTTT